GTTGATAATAGGCAAATTTATTGATATACAGTGATAGGAAATAAAAGCAATGTAGGCAAAGCAAATACAGTATATATTACCCAAATTCCCCAGTCCCAGAATATATACAAGGTGAGCGGTCCATCCAGCCAGTACATAAACACCACCTTGAGGTCCTTTATTTAAGTGTCCACCATCAGCAGCCTTGGAGGTCTGGACTGTTGCCAACTGCTTCTTCTTCTGTTTTTAAAACTCCTTCTTTTGTATTTTTTCTTTTCCTGGTGACTTCTGATCCATGGCTGTCACTGGTTGGTTGTCTCTCTGTGGTCACATGCCCACATGTCCACCATCAGCAGCCTTTAAATACCATTTCTAAGCCAACACTCTCAGCTGGCCCCCTTGAGCAGGCAGGTTATCACTTTTAACTGCCTGAAGCTGTGCTCCCACAGCTGAGCCATGCTCCTGGTTACATTACCCATACTGAATAGCTTTCTAGAAGACTTGTATTTATTTATTTACCTTATTATAAGACATGGTCATGTTGTACGTGCTGCAACACTTCCATTCAAAAACCAGCATTACCTATAGTTACAGTAAAGCATATTTACTGTGGTTTAATAATGATGAATTTCTTTTCTAGTTGTTATAAACTGTTATAAACTGTTATAAACAGATTTTTATTCAACCCAGTGTTAATTACTATGTTATCTTTATCATTTATTTTTGGCACATTTCTGTGTGTCCTTGTGATTCTATATCTATTGAACCTGAAACAATCCATTCCTGGTAAGGCTTTCATTTAAATTTAATATTTTAACCTTTAGGTTGCAAAGTCTTAAAAAAGCAATATGACGCAAATGTAAATTGATGGAATCCTGCCATTCCAAGCCCAGAGACACCCAGAAAAAATAGCCTCCATTCATTTCAAAGGCAGCTGCCTCCAAAACCTGATTATGGTAATCTTTAATGTTGATATCATTAACTTTTTCACTGCTAGCCAGTGCTTTAGGACTAGATCCAAGACAGAATTTCAGCACCTAAAGCAGGATTAAACAGATCTTGCAAACCAGAGAAACCTTGCTTAACCATAGAGATAGACACTAGGGCTGTGCGAAGCTTCAGGTGCTGATTTGATTTGGCGGAGATTTGGCCTGATTTGGTGGCCGAATCTCCAAACTGAATCAGAGGACCAATTTAAAGGTCTGAATCAATTCAGAAAATATTGGGAGAGCTTCGGTGATTTGGGCAGTCTGCGCCCGCTGCAGCAGGGAGCAGGACCCAGACTCTGAGCTGGTAAGTAGGGGGCGGGGGAGGGAGGGCTAGAGGAGGCAGGGGGCAGTGGGGATCGCCCCCTTGCCTGGCAGCAGCTGGTGAGTGCAGGCTTTTTTTTTCAAAGAGCCAGGAGCTGGGGTCAGGCGCAGCTGGGAGACTGGGTGGGGAATGGGGCCTGTGAGATTCAGAGAATCTCACAGGCCCCATTCTGTGCAGCAGCAGCCCATTCTGTGCAGCAGCAGCCCAATCTCTGGATCAGATTTTACTGAATCGATTCGGGACAGTGATTCGAATCACTGAATCGAGTCACTGTCACCCAGTTGGGCGAATCTGAATCTGAAGTGAATACTAGCCACTTTGCCCAGGCCTAACAGACACTTAAAACTCAATGGTGCATCCCTCTGCCTGTGTCTAGACAAGACGCTGACTACACAGTAGTCTGAGACTACTGTGCAGTAGTGTTGTGTGACAGAAAGCATGACATGGTGCTACTGCACAGTAGTCTCATGCTACTACTCAGCATCACAAAAAAGCTGTTCCTTGGTGCTACTATGAAGTAATAACTGCACAGTCAGCATCTCACGTAGCCATGGGCAGCATGGCCTGAAAGTTCCCTGGGAACTGCAGTTCTGCCTCTTCAGAACTGCTGGTCTGAACGGTTGGCACCTAGGTCCTGCCAACACCTTGTTCAGATACAGAAATTAGGCAGAGCAGTGCTAAGCTCCCTGAGGGGCCCAGTTCAACAGACACGCTTCAAGGACACCAAACACAGGCTAACATGTTTGGGCAGTTGCAGTTGCAGTGTTTTCATTACAAAATGCAGCACTGGAGAAGAAAAATTGGTTGCCAGGCTGCACGTCCTTTCTATAACAGGGTACTGGTTAGAGCAGTGGTTCTCAAACTTTTTCAACTTAAGTCCCACCAACCATTTTGTCAAAAAACCTTGGTTCCACCATGATAAAAACAAAACCCCCCTTTTTCCAAGAAGTGTATTTTTATGTTTATTTCTATAAGTGTGCAAACAACTTTGATTTTTTCAATCAGGCAATGAGTTGAAATCCCACCTACACAACCTTTAAGTCTCACCAGTGGGACGTGCCCCACTAGTTGAAAAACACTGGGTTAGAGCACATACCCAGGAAGTGGGAGACCTAGGTTTTGGGCCCTCCTCAGCCTGAGGGGGTTCAAGCACATTGTCCATTTTCCAAGAGAGTTTCCTTAATGGTCTCCTGGGTTGGCAAAGTCTCCTTCTCCCCAAACCTGGATGGTTGTGTGGAAAGGAAATGCAACTTTTTAACTCAGTGATTAGGGCACTCACCTGGGAGGGAAGAGTCCCGGTTTGTGTACTCTGCTGCCAGATTTATATTTTATTTCTTTTTCTTCTTTTTTCTTCTTTTAATCCATTAGTTGATTAATATAAAATGTATCAACAATGATAGGGACACTTTGAGAAGGCTAGGCACCTACAAGTTAGGCCAAATAATGTGAAGGTGTCTAAGTCTTTGAGTCCTTACTGCCCAAAGCCAGTTTCCCTCTTTGCCTGCATAAGTACCAGAGTCCTACCCAGGTTTCTACATTCCTTTCACCATTTATAACTTCCACAATACAGATAGGTATCTCCAATTCCACATTTGGGAACACATTAAGAATACAACATTAATGGATTATATATGTTAAATTAAAGTTAATGTCATACTATAAATGAAGGCAAACCATACCAATTGTTATTCAATTTACCAGTTAAGACAAAAAGAACCCCTTTAATTAAAATTTACCTGAAACTATGGCATTAAAAAAAAAAAATGTTACAATTGAGTGCCACAAAAGCTAATGGTTTAGCTGCAGGATTTAGGTCAATTTTGACACAGAGGACATGGAGACTTACTTACATGAGATTCTCCATTCAAAGTGTTCACCATTACATTTATGTTGACTACATGTTCTCTGTCACCCTATATTTCGCTGTCTCAGTAAACAAAATTGAAGTTTCTGTAAAGAAACCTTGTCTTATGCTCCATGGGAGTGGCATGCTGTACTTAGGTGTGGAGGCCTAGTTTGATCTTCAGAGGTATGTGCTTCCTGCCCCATCTCAAAAATAGCTATATGGGTTCTGACTTCCTAATACAATGCTTGTCTGTCCTCCTTTGTCTTTTGTACTCTCTAGCAGTCAAGGTATTGTGCAGCTGGCGTATGCCAGCAGGAAGGGATATTGCACCTGTAAGCACTGTATAGTGATGTGTGAAAGCTAAAACAGGAGGAAATGGTAATGACTAGAGTGTATGTCTGCTGATCCAGTTTCCTGGTTTTTGTTTAGACTTAAGAAAACGGTGCTTTCTCATTTGAACTATGCTACTTTCAGCTTTCTGAGAGCTTCCAATCTTGTTAAATAGTCTGTCTATCAAAAGGCTTTCCCTATGCAGTTTTTTCCTTACCAAGTGGTGAAACTTTGAGATGTAATCATCTGTATCTTATTCAGCATGACAGCAATGAAACCATTTAAAGCACTGATGCAAATCAAATGTGATCCTAATGCTATTTCTAAATAGAATCTCTTCCAACTTTCAACAGCTCCACAAACCAAGGCTTTCCAGTCACATATCAAATAAATATATCTCTGCATGTTTATGCATTTCTCTGCCATTGATGACTATGATTAACTTGGTTAGTACATAAAATCTTTATCTCAGTATAGTTTAGTTTCTTTTTCACCTTAAGCATAAACTAGACATAGTCTCTTGTTTTCATCTCAGTGGATTTTGGTATTTCTCTGCAAACCACTTCAGTTATTAAAACATATTCCAAAAAAAGAGTCAGTATTCTCATCTACTTCCTCATTTACAATATCTATACACTAAAAAGCAAGCAAGAGTATAACTTTCCCATTGTCTACATAATGAAGAAATGACTTGATACTTGAGGTGAATAATGATGCAACCAGACACTGTATGAATTCAATAATACAAACACACCATGTTTCTGCCTTCCCCACAAGGAAGGTCTTGCAGCATTGACTTTTGGAGATTATTAATGACAGAGTAGTCCCTGAGTTTGATCACAGCCAAGGTGTTTATCTTACAACTCATTCTTGCATAAATTGGAGACATCAATGTTATCAAGCTAATGGCTTTATAGAGCTAATTAATGGGTACATTGTTGGGGGCAGGGACTGCTTTTTTATTCTGTTCATTTATACTCCCCAGAACTATCCAGTCCTGGTCCATTGTGGAGTTTCTTAGGTGACAACACTAGGCAAATATTCCATTACAATATATCTGCTTTTGAATCAGACTCACAATTTAACTTGCATGATTACACGTGACCACACTTTCCCTTTTGAGTCCTACTTAATTATTTAATTAAGGTCAAAGTCCTTTTCTTAAGTACCTAGCTATCCAGCAGAGACAAGAAAAAGGTACAGCTCCTCAGCTAGCATAAGAGGTCACAAAACATAGCTTCATTGAAGAGAATGGAGAATATATGAAAGCTGAGGTTCTGCTTGAAGAACCCTGAGTTTCCTCTTCTTAAACTTGTTCAATATGTGTGAAGTCCACAGACCACAACTGAGCTATTCTTGGCTTATATCACTAGGTCTGAGAGAAGAAATAAACCTATGAGTTTCTTTTATAATTTAAACAGTTTTACAGATGTTTATCATTATCTTACATAGTTGCCTACAACACTATAAGTTCACTGAAATCATAAAGATGGTTTCTTCTTTCCTTTTGATTCACTCTGTGTTTTTCTTGCAGGTCTGGGTGGATGCTGGTACACAGATATTTTTCTCCTATGCCATCTGCTTAGGATGCTTGACAGCTTTGGGGAGTTACAACAACTACAATAACAATTGCTACAGGTAAGGCATTCTTCTCCTACCCTTTACTTTTAACAGAGGCTTCACTCTTGCAAGTCATGTGTACGGAGAACTGACCCTTTCCAGCATAAGCTATGGAGGATATGCACCTTATTGGTCTAACTATATTATTGAAAAATAAAGCATTAGGAGAAGATGGAAATATTGAAATATTTTACACTTATCAGATTTGTTTTGTACGATATTTTTAAGTACTTTGGCTTATATTTTGAATTCTTTTCTTCAAATTCCATCGTAGAGTAAGTAAAGTACAATAAAATTGGCTAATATATCACCAGAGTTCTCTATAGAAATTAGAAGAAGCTTTGCTGGTCATTTCAGAGAGACTTAAGCACTTGGATTTGTGTGTGTCGGGCTGGATCCTGAGCAAAATTTGCATTCATTTTATTGCCATTTAGGATCAGATCCATGATCAGGAAAACAGATGACTGTTTTTTTTTCCCCCGTGTAATAATACAAAATAATAAATTATTGTAGACTGGTGTCATATTACACCTTTTAGCCTGCTATCCCTAGCATACAATTTATCCTAAGAGATTCCATTTCTGTTTGTGGGAAAATGTGTGCTTAAAGTTTCATAGTTTCATAGTAGCTAGGGTCAGGAGGGACCTGAACAGATCATCCAGCCTGACCCC